TATATTCTTTGGGCACATCCAGATGAGTGTGGTTGTGCGGTATGTGGGGCTGCAAACAAGTTTGCAGCCCCACATACCGCACAGTCCAGAGTTCTCTGCACTGCAGGGCCGTGCTGCTGAAGCGTGAGCTGCTCTGGTATTTTTTCCGCATTTTTATTTTTACCCCTGGATATCCGGGGTGGACTTCTGCATGTGCCTCTTGGCTATCCCACTCCACCACAACATCATTGTTGTACTTGGTCCAGTTCTTGAACGATCCATTTTCCTTTAACCACTGGGGTTGGGCCATGCCTCTTTTCCTCTGCAGGGCTGGGTTGGGGCCTGGACATGCTTTCTTCCTCCCACCCTCCCCACCCCCCACAAGGCCAGGCCATGCCCCCTTCCATCTCTTTGGGGCCAGGTCAAGCTCCTTTCCCCTGTGAGGCTGCATTGGTGCCAACCTGCCCCCTGTCTCCCCACTCCCCTCTGCACAGCTGGATGGTACTCACTGTGCCTGCCTGGGCACTGGATTGGAAATACTGTTTGGATCCAGCCCACTGGACAAAAAGGTTAGACACCACTGGCTTAGAGCAGTGCTTGGGAATGTTTCTGAGGAATGGGTAAGAAAAACTAAGCTCCAATCTGAGCCACTAGGAAGTCCACTAGAATGTCACTGAAGACACAGCTCCATGGGCTGCATCCAAAGGGTCTGCAGGCTAGATCCACTCCATGATCTGTAGGTTGTTAGCTAGTGGGTTAGAGTATACTTCAGGCTTAGCACATGGTGAAGCATATGTCCTTGTCAAAAGCTTCCTACTATTCATGTACAGCATCCATTATACTCGTATTAACGTGTGTAATGGAGCTAAGGGCTCCTGTTATTTTAGGAGGAAAGTGCTGCAGCCAACGTCTGTGATCAGACGAGGCCAGGCAAGGCCAGCTCACAATTTTGGGGGGTTCCCTACAAGATAGAGTTTTGGGGGCCGCTGATCTATTGAAAAATCAAAATTGTGGTTAATTGTGGTATAAACTCACTGAAATAAAAGAGTTGGGACCGGGTTGCATGCACGTAGGCTGTGCTGCAGGGGGCATGGGAGCAGCACATACTGGGGACACCTGGGTTCCCTCCCTGGGGCTAGGGTGGGAGTGGAGCCAGGAACTCCTGCCCCACTCGGCCAGGAAGGGGCTCCCTGCCTGCATTGAGCCCTTTAAACATGGTGAAGGCAGTGAGGGGTGAACAGAGCACAGTCCCTTGGCTGCATGGCTCTCCGCAGCTGCAAGTTCTGCAGGATAGGAGGGCAGGTGAGCAAGGGCTAGCTGCCAGAGAGGAAGTCACCAGGGAAACTGAAGATGAGTAACTTCTTGAAAGCTAGCTGAAGTGCTCCAGGTTGGTAGGAGGGGAATAACTGCAGCTCAGTTAGGCAAATGGCAGTGAATTGAGTAGGCTGCTCACTAAGAGGAGTAGACACACCCGGGGATAGTAAGAGTGGCATTTGACTGGAAGGGGTATAAACCTGAAGCCAGAGCAAGTAGTGTGGCCTTGACCTCTGGACTGTCATCCTAGGCCAGGGCTCGGCAACCCCTGGCACACATGCTGAGCATGGCACGCGAGGCCATTTTGCTTGGCACGCTGCGGCCAGCCCCAGCTCCGGATAGCTGCTGCCAGTGATGGAGCCCGGACTGCTCCCAGCCAGGCTTGCAGCAATCCCAGCTGCCTGCTGGGAGCAGCCCGGTCTTCTGGCTGGCAGCAGTTCCCCAGAGCTGAGGCCGGCTGCAGCCAGGAGGCTCCAAACAGCTGTGCTGGGCTCCGGCATCAGCTCCACACCAGCGTGTGCTCCTCAGGGCAGACAGTGGAGCAGTGCAGCCCACTCTGAGGTGCCCGTGTAGTCACCGCCAGCATGGAGCTGATGCCAGAGCTGTGCAGCCCGACGCAGCTGTTTGCACTCTGCCCACTGCTTGCTGCAGCTGCCCAGAGCCCGGGCTAGCTACAACCAGCTGTGCCAGGCTCATCACCTCTGTGCTGGGAGTGGGGGAGAGACTAGGGGTGCACTGCCTCAGGTCCTTCCCCCACCACCCGCTCCAAGGCGCACCTGCACGCGCTGGTGCAGAGCTGATGCCAGAGCCCAGCACAGCTGTTTGGAGCCTCCCGGCTGCAGCCAGCCCTGGCTCTGGGGAGCTGCTGCCAACCAGGAGCCTGGGTTATTTCTCTCAGTACTGACCGGTGCCAGTCTCAGGGGGGGGCACTGGCTGGCACTTCACTTGGCGCCCCACTCCCTGGCCAGCATGGCCCAATCTTGGGGGGGGGGGCACATGCCCCCCCATGTTCCTGCTACATATCATCTATGATTAGGGCCAGGGGCAGAGAACCGGGCTGCAATCATTGCCAATGAAACACAGGTGCCTGTGAGGCATCGAATTTAGTTTGTGGGATGGATGGTCCTTTGGCACAAATAGGACCATGTATTTAGCTCAGGGAGTTGAGCTAGGTAGAGTGGAGATCCTGTAGGGGCATTCAAGGACTCTGGGAAGAGCCTCCCAAGGTAACATAAGGATTGCATCAAGGCATGGCAGGTGAAACAGTGATAGGGAATTAACCTGAGGAGCTGGAGTGGGGTGGGGAGTTCAACCCGGGGTGCCACGGCTGTCCTCAGGGGCTGGTGATGTTAAAAGGAGAACCTGGAACCTATACTCTCCTGTTCAGGTCAGGGATGGAGAAAGGCACGTGTGCACTTTGCAGTTTGGAATGAATGTAAGCAGGTGTTGTTGAGCTTGTGTTTGACTAGCCCTCCAATGCTATCCCACAATTCTTGGCACATTTATGCTTTGACCTGTCTAACAATTAATTTCCCAATAACTTCCTATGAACCAGAAGCTACATGCTGTTTTAGGTACAACTAGTCTCTTGTTTAAGGATTGTGGCCTAATAGTAGGGTAAAAAAGAAGGGTAAAGTGTCACCCCGAGGGTAACTCATGGCCACAACTGGCAGCAGTGTTTCAGGTAGAGATGTCTACCCGTGTCAGGAAAGTCATGTTGGCAATCTGGCATGTGTCTGCGATATTGGAATCCAAGATGACTACAATGATGGCAATGTTATGACTGATCTCCTCAGTTCATACAATGTTGGTTAGTGGGGGCTACAATATTGACTAAAACATGAATTCATGGCAGCCATCTTGGATTCCAATATGGCAGCCACATGCCCTACTTACCAGATTTGCAATATGACTTTTTTGGCACGGGCAGACCACCCCTACCTGAAACACAGTGCTGCCACTTGTGGCAATGAGTTGCCTACAATAAAAAAAAATCTAGGGACCTTATTGGTCAATTTATACCCTCCGATGAGCCTTGTTTGTGGCCTGCGTCCAGCTCAGACGAACAGTAAGTGCCTACCTAGTGAGTTGTTCGTTGGCCAGAGAAAGACACAAGTAGCATTTTGCTAACATACAAGAGAGAAAAATAGCTCCACTGGCTTATTGTTATCAGAGAAGGCTTTGGTTTGCTTGCCCTTCACAGATTCCTGAATAAAAGATAGAAAATGATGTTTCAAACAGTTTCTTACAGAAGCTGTCATTGCCTAGGACGATATTTGCCTGGCCACTACTACTTCTAGTTTCTGTTTCCAAGCTAAGGAAAGTGAAACTGAACCAGAAAAAGTTAA